TCCAGGGTTCAGGGCCTGTGGACGCAGGCCAAGAAATCGGGGTTGATCGCTGGCGGTGGGGTCGCTCGTAAGTGGTTCCGACGTGCTGCGGATCAGTTTGGGCGCCCAGTCAAACTCTGGATGCGAAACCTTGGTCACGAGTTGGCAGCAGGGCGAGCGATACGTACTCAGGAGAAAGAGCGTGTCCGTGCTCTGGCGGCGCGGAAGAGGAAGTGCATGGCACCCAAGCACGCGGCGGGCCAACGGTTGACGGCCCTGTGGCGCACGGGCGCATTGCCTGCAGCGGGCCACGGAGCCTCGGTTCCAGGCATGTCCAACACCAGCTTGCGCTACCTTCGCCGCGACCTTCGCCGCTTCGCTGCCACCATTGCTGGAGCTAAGGAGCGCGGAGGGGTTACTGCAGATCTGCTGGCACTGTCCAATCCGCTGTACGACCCAATCTACGACTGTACCTTGGCGGTGGTGGTCAAATATTCATGTGTCATATGGGACGATCGGGTACCTCTAGCGCGGGCTCAGAGAGCTTGGACGGTGTTACGGGACACTATGATGGATAGCCCTACTTGGCAGCAGGCTCGGGGCCCTATGTCTGCGGTTTGGCTAAGCTTGTTGCGCATAGGTTGGACGATGGTCAATGCCCACACGCTCCACAACCACACGGGCCAGAACATATCCCCCTATCACGACGTACCCGAACGACGTGAGGCTGGCGGTTATTGAGAGGATTCGAGCCTGGCAACACGCTAGGTTTCAGAGGCAGATGAGCACGGCTGCTTCGTCGGCCGACCTGGTGTGGCACCGCGCACTCCGACACGGCGTGCAGGCAGTCAAGTGTCCTCGCCAGAGAGGTGCCCTGGCTGCGGTGCGGTCCAACGTTGTGCCCTTACCCTACGAGCTCAGCCTTATGAAGTACAGAGTCTCCCCAAAGTGCCTGATGTGCCCCGAGGCCAACGGTACGTACGGTCATATATGGTATAGTTGCCCCGCCTTCATTAATGACCAGGGCTCGGACCCCATGGGCGACGAGATCCCCGAGAAGCTAGCTGATCATAGGAGAGCCCTGATCCAGTCTAGGTTGGATATTGGTGGCAATCCCGATGTAGATAGGCACTATCTCACGTATGGGGTCTCTACTTTAAGCGTCCCCATTCGGGCCCCCGAGGACCTCCAAAAGGTGTTCGAGTTTCGCAATAGAGAGGTGCTTGGGGACCGGAGTCCTTCCTGGACGGGAGTTGCTACCAGTCCCGCCTGCCAGAAGTGGCCAGAGCTGGCTGGGCGGTGGTTCAGATGCTAGAAGCATCCGATTGCTTGTTGCCATGCCGTGCCATATACGGGGCCCTCCCAGGAGCTGGGCAAACGATTGGCAGGGCTGAGCGTTGGGCGGCCAGGCAGGCTATCGCCCACCACCCTGGCCATGAGTCTCTGGTTTCAGACTTGCAGGCTGTCGTGCGTGAAGGGAACTCCTGGGACCCCGAGTTGGCCAGAGGCACGGCTAAACATGCTGCCGTATGGGAATCGATGTTCAGGATCCCCGTGGTCAAACCTCCGCGTTTCAGATGGTGCCGCGCCCACTTGAGTTTGGACGACGTGTTGTCTAGGGGGTTGTGTGTTCAAACGTGGGCGGGGAACGTCTGGGCTGATTTGTTCGCTAAGCTCGGGGCGCGTTCCCACACGTTCTCTGAAGCTTTCTGTCAAGCGGTGGCGGGCGAGCTGGCCTATCACAAAAGCACGGTCAAATGTATCGCCTGGGCCGCTCAGAGAATGCTCGAGGCACGCAGCTGGACTGTGCTCGACCCCGAGGCCCCCTGGCTCCCCCTGCCCCTCCCAAGGTCGTTCTCACCAGCCATGTGTTGTTTCATAGTGCCGAGGAGCAGACATATAAGTGCAGGAGGTGTGGACGCTCGACCCGCACCCCTGCCAGTGTGAAGGCCCCGATCACCTCACGCGAGACGCGTGAATGTATGCCGTCACCCATCCGCCAGCATGTGTGCGACGCTTGGCTCGGTGAGTTCGCTTCGTCTTACTCGCTCGTTCGCTCGGAGGCGGTGACGGTTGCTCTGGAGGCGGCGGACACTCTTTGTCTTGACCCTGATGCGGTCGGTGGGCCGCCCACCCCCCTGCCTCATGAGCCCAGCTCGGATGCGGATTGCGTCCGTGAGCTGAACCATGATGTGATCCCTTATAACCCTGTTTTCTGCTGCAAAAGATGCGAGGCCCACGGCACGCCAGACAGCATGCGGAAGCTGTCGGTGTGCAAGGGCCATGCAGAGAATGCCAGCACACGTGCGAACCAGCGCACGAAGGTACGCCGTGTCGAGCGCGGCCTGAACCCCAAGACGGGGCAGAAGAGCGTGGCTGCTGGAGGGCGTGAAGGTTGCGCCCCCTCGGCCCCTTCGCGGGGGCCGCGCCCGCCTCTCCTCCGGGGCTCTGGTGCAGTCTGGGGGTGGTAACGACCGTGCTGTGCCCCGCTGCGTCGTGCCGTCGAGGACTCCTCGACGGAGAGAGCCTGCCCAAGACGGTGCAAGCTCGAGCACTCATCTGGTTGGCTCGAGTGCCCCGCCGCCGCCCGTCGTGTCGCCGCGCCCCCGCCGCAGAGGTGATGGTGCTGCTCGACTGGCAGGCGGGGCCGCCCGCCCGAACTGGACCTCCCTCTCGGGTTCGCCCTTGAGGGAGGCGCTGAGGTGCGCCTCCTCCTCCTCCCCCTCCTCCTCCTCCTCAAGCAGTTGGGGCTCAGAAGGAAGGCTGGAGTGGAGCAGCCCCTCCCCCTCTTTCCGGGCCCGCCTACCGTACCGTTTCGTGGCGCTTGCGGTTTAGTCTGCCGAGTGGAGACGGCAACAAAAATCAAAGGCAACCTCTCCCCGCACAGCTCATCCGCCATGGCCATGGCGCCCGCTCGCGGGGGGCGGCTGGTCTCCTCCTCCTCGGCAGCCCTCCGGCAACGGCGACGGGCACGGGCACCAGGAGTGCCCCGGAAGTGCGGGCGGTGCGGCTGCGGACAGGAGCTCGGCAGGCTCTCTCGTTCTGCAAGCAGCGCGGCGGAAAGCGCAGGGAGGTCGAAGGAGCTCCACCCCCCTCCAGCCAGCCAGGAGGCGCGTGGGCCGCCGACCAGGGCTACAGGAGCTGGAACATCGGAGGCGGTGAAGCCCTGGGTGCTGGTCTGCAGGGCGCGGATGCTCCAGCCATCTCTGGCGACCAGGGAGAGCTCAGTGATGACGAGCTCCAGTAGCTCGTCGACCTCAACCAGAAGACGGGCGCGCTGTCGCTGCAGCGTTCCAAGGGCGTCTTGAAGAGCGCCGTGCAACGGTGGGATCTGTCCCTCTCCAGGCGCAGGCTACGAAGGTGGATAGTCGCATCAAGCAGTTGGAAAGAAACTCAAGATCGAAATGGATGATCTGTGTACTCATTGGCAGGCTTGGTTACTCGAGAAGCAGGGCTCTGTCGGCTAGTTACGCATGGAGCTCGCCAAGGAAATCGACAGCTACAGGTCCCTGGTCGAGAAGCTTCGCCGTGCCAACCCGAGGCTGCAGCCCCAGCCCTCAGGAAGCCAAGCAGGTCACCCTCCACGACTCGCTGGACGGTGGCTTGGACTTCCTGGACATGTCCAGCGTGGAATCGGTCTTCGGCATTCACAAGTCTGCCTGCGACGCGCTGGATTCGGACGCAGCTGAATTCGAGAAGAGGGCCTAGCAGTTCCGCGGCGGCATTACATCGGCAGCGAAAGTGCTCTTCGGTGGAGCCATCGGTGCCATCGTCCACCTCCCGAAGTAGGCCTGCTACATCAGCGCGCGCAGCGTCTAACTGCACCACTGCCAGGACCCCTCAGATTCCAATATCGGACTATCAAGCAAGGTTTCTGTTGTTGTCGAAGGTGCAGGTGTACCTTCGATTATCGGAGGGGGCCTCAAAATGGTCCTCGACACCCTGGTCAGGTCTCGGTCTGAACACGATGCATCTGTGGTCAGGATCCTCAAGGGCCCCTGGCGATTGGAGGCTTCTGGGTCCTGGCATTCCGGAATAAAGCAGTTCTTGAACAACAATAGAACTATTCATGATTGGGAAGAGATGGAAGATGTGTTGAAGAACCGTGACACCGCGTTGCAGATTCTGGCACAGGCGAGCGCGGCGTCTTCCGAAAAAAACTGAACTCATTAAGCTACCTTAAGCTCGGAATGGGTGTTTTAGCCGACGCGCTCTCGCTGCCAGAGTCGGAGTCCGCCCGCCCCTCAAGCTTCTGGGAGGAGGCGGAGTTCAGGCAGCCAGTGTTTCAAGAAGGTCGAGCCGATGCCGAGCCTCCCGGTCTTGAACCCAGCCAATTTGCGCGCGGCGAGCCACAGGAATGCTGAGCAAGCTGCTGTTTCCGTAGGCGTTTCCACATGAAGCACTATGCCAGCCTGAGCGGCCCATCAATAAAAAGCACTAGGGGTGTCGGGGGCGCGCAAACATGGATTAGCAATCCATGGATTTGGCGCGCGGGCGCCAAACCCATGGATCGGGGGAGGGGCTCTCCCCAAAATGCGGACGGCGCCGCTTCGCTCGGCGGCGGAGATCCGCGATGTCCCATGGAAAAGGGACCCATCACTAATCCACGCCCCCTTGATTCATGTTTGCGATCGCCTGAGAGTAGTCTTTTCCGTAATGGAACGCCCTACCTCCTCCTCCTCCCCCTCCTCCTCCTCTTCCTCCTCCTCCTCCTCATCCTCATCCTCATCCTCCTCCCCCTTCTCCTCCTCCTCCTCCTCCTCCTCCTCCTCCTCCTCCTCCTCCTCCTCCTCCTCCTCCTCCCTCCTCCTCCTCCTCCTCCTCCTCCTGTCCCTCCCTCCTCCTCCTCCTCCTCCTCCTCCCCTCCTCCTCCTCCTCCCTCCTCCTCCTCCTCTCTCCTCCTCCTCCCCTCCTCCTCCTCCTCCTCCTCCTCTCCTCTCCTCCTCCTCCTCCTCTCCTCCTCCCCCTTCTCCTCCTCCTCCCCCCTCTCCTCCACCCCCTCCCTCCCCCTCCTCCCCCTCCTCCTCGGGCGCTCCCCCAAGCAGAGGCCGCATGCGGGCTCCGACCCCTATAGGCACGCTGCTCCAGCCACAGCCTGCGGGGTAGACGAGCAAGAAGCTGCTGCACCGACTGGGGAGAAAAAGTTCTACGCTACGGGGCGTGAAAACGACCAAAGCCACTGCTCTTCGTTTGTTGCCGCCTTCCAGCCCGCAGAAACAAGGCAGCGGTTGTGGTCATGCTCGTTGAGCTTGGCACCAGGGAGATGACCACAACCACCGCTTCGTTTTCGGCCGGCTGGAAGGCGGCACAAACAAGAAGCAAAGGCTGTGGTCATTTTCCCGTCCCGCATCTACAGAGGCAATCTGGCGGGCAGCACATCGTTGTGCCAGCAGCTGGCGCGGTTTGGCGCCAGCTGCTCCGACCAGAGCACGCTTACCTCCTGGAGATGCTGCTGCCACTTTTCTGGGACATACGCAAACTCTACGAGCTCATGAGCATAGGCTTGATCTCCTCCCGTTGCGACAAGGTCGGTGTCCGTCTTCCTCTAGCACGGCTGGCCAATTCACATTGTCGCTGTCCCAGGTTCCTGAACCTAGAGACTAAGCCCATGTGAGCCACCAACGGAGGGGTTGCTGGATGCTCCATGACCTCTACCTTTGTCCGCATGTTCCTCGCGCTGCCTATCAACCATGCCCTGTCCGAGGTGCCCAGGGGTCTCCATTTGAAAGTGTTCAACGACGACTACGGGGGCTCGGCCAGGGGCAATCCACAGGAAGTCATCGAAACCATCGCCCAGGATTCGGACTCGACCGAGTAGGCCTTGAGGGAGTAGATGGGAAGTAGCATATCTGGGAGCAAAGCCAAGATCATCGCGTCCTGCCCGACGGTTGCCAAAGCTATTTGAAAGCAGATTAGAGATCTAGCTGAACCTCCAGTGCGGTCTGCAGTTAACCTTGGGGCCTTGGAGTTGATTTGTTTGTTTAGTTCAGCTGGCCGCATACGCATGTCAACTGAATCTCAACCTGGCAGCACAGCACGCCCAGGCGCGAATGGCATGCAGATTGACGCGCCGACGGAACACCGTACTGCCGTGAGTGCAGAGCGCACATCAGGACGAAGTCCAGAAGTCGTTGAAGAAAAGTCTGGCCCAGAAAATGGCTCACCAGAACATTATGAAGCGGTGCGCCCAGCCCAGGAGGAGGATCAAAAGGGGCGGGGCACGCATCTCAGGCCAGGCTGGCCCAGCTGAGCTCCATGCTGGAGGCGGCCGGCCTGCTCGGGCCGTGATTCGGCTCCAACAGGCTCATTCGACGATGCTTGCAATTCTGAGGGGAGGTCGCTTCCTTGCTGTGATCGTCCTCGCCCAGCAAGCCTCCGACAGGAGACCCAGCACGGCGCAAGCGCTTCGCGTAGACGTTGAGGTAGTGGAACCCCTCCATCGTCCGTCCGTGAACGACTTTGAGGTCCACCTTCCCAAACTGCATCCACCTGGGATCCTCGGTAGTGGCCCCTGCTGCGCGGTATCGGAGGCCACCAGTCTGCTTTGCCTCCGCCCACTTTCCCGTGAGGTTCAGCTCCTGGAAGTACATGTCCGCGCACAGCTCCCCGAGCCTCTGCGCCTCCGCCTCGACGCGCAGCAGGGTGCCCTCGGGGCGCGCGCCCCTCGGGATCTGGAGCAGGACGTGCCGTCCCGCCTGCAGGAGGTCGAAGCGCTCGCCGAGGATGTTCTGCAAGTGGGGGTCGCCGGTGCCCGCGACGGCGCCCATGCTGGCCCCAATGATCACAGGAACCGGCGTGGGAGCACCGGTGACTCCCGCAGTCGAAGCCGCGGCGCCGACGGAGGGAGCCGTCAGCGTAGGGGCCACGGTGATGACAGGCTCACCACTCCAGTCAGCAGCAGCCATTGCAATGTTCGTCTCGGCCGCAACGGCGGCAGACATTCCGGCAATCGCGGCACTGAGGGATGCGGCGCTGTTGCTGCCAGCGATCTGCACCGTGAATTGCGTCGTCACGGTGACGTGTGAGTCCTGCGAGAGCTGACGGGCAGCAAACGGGATCCGATCGGGATGACTCGTGATGACGAAACCCGTGATTTCAATGTCGGAAGCAGGCACGTTCAGAGAGTTAGCCAGACCCGTCTTTTTAGCGGCCACATATGTAATGGAACTCATGAGGTCCTCCGCAGTCACACCATCTGGAAGTGTTTCCTCCGTGGTGTACTCACCAGCGATCTGTGCGTAATTGGACAAGTAACTGCCCGTTTCATTCGAGCACGTGAGACCAAATGCCCTGTAGTAGAGCCAAGTAGACTTCTCTGTGCTGCAACCACAGAGGCCGCCGTGCCAACAACCATTGCAATCGGTGCACTTAGAACCCGCGAGATCGAAGTAGCCACAACCATCCTCACAGCTGCAACATCCAGCAGCTTTGCGCGCTTCTGTGCAATCCCAACAATTGCAACCGCAAGGTGGGCTCGGGCACCCGCAAGTTTTCTGCGCATCCGAAAGCGTCGGGCTTGGCGTAGGGCTTGGCGTCGGGCTCGGCGTCAGGCTCTGGGCCGCAGACTGCGTGAAGCCAGGTGGCAATGGTGTCGGACTCGGCGTCGGGTTTGGCGTTGGATCTGGCGTCGGTGACACGTAGTGGTAGGGCAGGTAGCTGCCTCTATCACTCGAGCAAGTGAGACCGAACGCCTCGTAGTAGGGCCAAGTAGCCGAATCTGTGCTGCAACCACACTTGCCATTGCGCCAACAACCATTGCAACCGTCGCACACGGAAGAAACCGTATCTGCATAACCACAACTCGAAGCAGTCCCGCAGCTGCAGCATCCAGCAGCTTGACGCTCTTGTGTGCAGTCCCAACAGTTGCAGCCGCAGGGGGGGCTGGAGCAGCTGCAAGTGCCCGATGATGCAAGATCCCCAAGCGGGGGGTAGGTGGGTGCAGATGTCGGGATCGGCGTTGGGAATGGCGTCGGTCTTGGCGTCGGACTTGGCGTTGGATATGCAGTCGGGGTTGCCGTCGGGGTTGCCGTCGGGCTCGCCGTCGGGTTTGGCGTCGGGCTCGCCGTCGGGCTCTCCGTGGGGCTTGGCGTTGGAAACGGCGTCGGGTATAACGTCGGGCTTGGAGTCGGGCTGTGCGTCGGGTTTGGCGTTGGATATTTCGTCGGATAGGGCGTCGGACCTGGCGTCGGATAAGGCGTCGGGTCTGGCGTCGGGTAGGCCGTCGGGAACGACGTTGGGCGGGGGGTCGGGTAGGACGTCGGACTGTACGTCGATCCGCCCGCCCAAATGTAGAACGCGACGTCTTCCAGCTTCTTATAATTCGAGCACGACGACCCACCGTTGACGCAGCGGTAACCCGAGGGGCCACCCCAACAGTCGACTGACCCATGCCCGAAGAAATAACGGCAGCACGTCTCCCCACCGAGATTGGGGCTGGTGTAGAGTAAATCTATGCCGTGGCTGGTAGATTTTAAAGTGGCCCATGTCGACACCGCCCCGTACGAAGTCCCGAGCCCAACCAAGGTGTTGCCCTGAGTAAGGCCGAATGATGGCGATGTGTCAACATAAGCGTCGTTCGACTTAACGTACAGGTAAGAAGCGCAATCCGAACTCTTGATTTGGTACACGTGCGAGTAACCGTCCCTCGCCACCGCCATGGAATTGATATCATAATCAGACAACTTTGCATGACTTGAGCCGATCGCCGAAGAAATGCTACCGTAAGCGCCGGTCGTCATGGGGAATGAATAGGACCCCCTATCGCCATCCTGGATCTGGTATATTTTGGACCAACCTTGCGATGTCGTTCCATAACCGTACACGTCCACCACGATGCTGCCACCATTGTCAGCAAGCGACACTCCCCGGGAAGGCTCCATCCAAGTGGCGAGGATCAGATCGCCGCTAGACAGCGCAAAATTGATACTGCAAGTGATTGTGTACCCAGACACTGTGCACTGGGACGGCAACGTGCCCCACTGGCTCTGTGACAAGATGTACCCTCCATTCTTCATGAATTCGAAGGACCCAGTGTACCCACAGCAGCACTGTTGCCACACGGTGCCTCCCGATCTCTTCGTATCGCACCAGATGCCGGATCCGCCAACGTAAGTTGCTCGCAGCTGTGTGAACGAACCATATGCCATAGGTGTAACATATGAGGGCATAGCGACGCCGTAATATTCGAAGTTGTCCAGCAACTGTACCCATGTATCCCCCGCCAAAGCCGGCGTCGGATGGGGGGTCGGGTCTGGCGTCGGATACGGCGTCGGGTACGGCGTCGGATACGAAGTCGGGCTTCTCGTCGGATACTGTGTCGGAAACGACGTCGGGCTTGGCGTCGGGCTTGGCGTCGGAGAATGTGTGGCGCCGGGTGGCAGAGGCGTCGGGCTTGGCGTCGGGCTTGGCGTCGGATGCGGCGTCGGGCTTCGCGTCGGATGCGGTGTCGGGCTGGGCGTCGGATAAGTCGTCGGGCTTGGCGTCGGAGACGGCGTGAAGGCCGAGCACACGTAGCCGAGCAACATGTGCCCGTCGTTGCAGGTCTCACACTGGTCTCTCACCACTCGGTCCTGCGGCGTGACACACGTCTTGCAGGCCGCTCCGCTCCCAGTCTCGCAAGTCAGCATCTGATGCCGGTAGGTCACGAACTGCGCTGACCCCTGACTGGTTCTGGTTCCAACCGCTGCGGAGCAAGCCCCGGAAGACATCGCATTGGCCGGCATACAGGCGCAAGTGGTCCCCGGGATGCCGGAGCCGTCGTTCGGCGAGTCGGAGTACAAGTACTCACAATAATTCCCGGCCGCCTCCCACTGTGTCACAAGGGCGAAACACTGGGCGAGGCTCAGCGCACCCCAGGAGGCTCCTGGCATCGCCTGGCCCACAGCGCAGTTGAACTTCTGAGCCATGTTGGAGAGTCCCGTGACCCAGGCAGGCTCCGATCCGAAATCGTCGCAAGTAAAACAGAAGTTCTTCGTGACGGAGATGGCGATCCTGCCAGCAAGGTCACCGGCACTCCTGTTCATGCTGGACCTCTCGAGCGAGCCGTTGCGGGCGCCCTCGAGGATCGGCTTGGGGTCTGGGAACTTGGTCTTGACGTCTTCGCCGAAGCTGGGGTCGGACGTAGCCCCAGAGAGGAGGCGCAGCGCCGGCAGCAGCGATGTCTTGTTGAACTCCCCCCGCGACAGGCGAGGGGGAGGGGCTGGTTGGGGCCAGAGTTTGAGCGAGAACGAGTAGCCAAACTCAAGCTTCGGCTGTGGATAGAGGGGCAGAGAAACCGTCCCCGAGAAAATATCGAACGCCAGGATGCCGTTCAGAGACGACTCCCAATACGACCACTCCGAGCTGGAAGGCCCCGCCGTACAACTGATACTGAAGAACGCAGAGGCACTTGGCGTCCACGTGTACGGCGAACCGAAGATGGAAATTCTGCCCGTAGCAAAACCGACAATCTTGGCCGCGAATCTTCCATTGAGACATCCAGCCTGGGCCTTGATTCCAAGGACTGCGTATCCGAACTGGAGGTCGACGCCCAATGTGATGGTAAAGTCGCCTTCGTCACAGAACACTGCTTCCAACCTCGTCTGAAGATTGGTGAGGAGGTTGTCACCTACAATGATGAGGTCATCGAGCATCCGTCCTGAAGAGATGTACCTGAACACGCCAATGACTCCTTTGGCAGCAGTTTGGACAAAGCTTGGCGCACACCACGAGCCACCTGTCCAATCAACGTTCAGGAAAGGAGTGGGGATGCCGAAACTAAGCCCCGGGAGGCTTGTCGTCTTCGTAAGGCAATTCGTGAACTTTGCAACGGTATCCGCGAAACGCTGGGCCATCCCGAACACGTCAAGCACGTCCCAAATAGTCATGCTGCTGACGAAATCGAAGGCGCCGCAGTCAGTGAATTCGGCGGTGGGAGCTGAGTTCCAACAGAAGTCGATGCTCACGGCCGCTGCTTCTGAGTAGATCCCATTCACGACCCTCTCTCCGAAATCCCACAAAGCCTCGAAAACCGTAGTAGCAATTATCGCTTCCGGGGGAAATAGAGCAGCTCTGATGCCGTCGGCGATGTTCGGCAGACAGCGAAGGTTTGCCATGACCATGTTCTCGAGCACGTCCAACAGTAACGAGAATCCGCATTCCAAGAATGAGAGAGCGTTGCTCGCCCCCTCCGAAACGCAATCCCAAACGCCAGAACAGCTTGTGGGGATGAGATCGAAACCGCACATGTTTCCAACCGCATCGTTGACGGCGTCCACCACAGCTGACAGACACTCTCCGAAACTCATGAGCACATTTACTACAGTGTCGACCACGCATGTGTACACGTACTCCACTGCTTCGGTGAAACATGACCACACGCAATTGGTGACACAACTCACAGTGCAAACAACCACATCGACGACTGTGTCTACCACATCCTCGACGACGCTCCACCAACGACGCCGACGCCTCCCGCCCCAGAATTCAAGCTCTTGGGACGTTCGCGCAACGGAGCTCGAATCTCGGGAAACTCGTGCAACAGAGCTGGAGTTGGTATGCGCCAACCTAGGACAACTGGAACAACTGTTGCTGCAAGAGTTCCCACAATTGTCTACCCATTGTGTTTCCGAGCATGTGCTGGGAAGTGAGAAGATGCTTTCGAAGGTGCACGAGGGTCCACGCAACGCCTTCTGGGATGCAGTTCGTTGTGCAGGCTGAGATGTTGTGGCGAGCCACTCGTCGAGGGTCAGGAACGCATTCCCACGGGCGCTGTGCTTCGTCACAAACTCTTGTACCGAAGCCCTGGGAAGTAACACGCTGTCAAAGGGTGTGTTGAGCGTGCCGTTGGCTGCTTCGATCGCAACGAGGTCCTGTCCGATAAGGCTTCCCACTAGCTCGTCCACGTCCAGGGTCGAAGACTTATCCTTGTCGATCTCGCCAAACTTTTTCTCGAGAAAGAGCAGCTGCTCATCTGAAGACAGATTTTTCCACGCGTGTATGACCGTAAGCGCCCCTTTGGTGACCACGTACTCATGGAAGTGACAGGGGGTTACCTCATGCAAGGGGAACCCTGGCCCGCAGTGTCCACACTCGTCGACGTAGGCAGCATCGGAGCAGAATTGGCACTGGCTGCAGCTGTCGCACGTACCATCGTAGCAGAATTCCTGATCCTGGCAATCAGAGTGATCTTGGCAATGCACCACGTCCGGCTCTGGATCGGGCCCCTCGGCGCACGTGGCGCAGCACACTGCCAGAACTTGGCTCGACAAGTTCGAATCCGCACAGTACGGCCCGACATCCGAGCAACCACTGACGTCATCCACACGTGCATGATCTTTTGCAAGTTGGACGGCGCCCGCATCGTTATCAACACAACCAGGCAATCCGCGCGCTGGCACGGGGGAGCCGTGGTCGAAGACATGGGTCTGGATCAGATGCACGTCAGGCGCCGCGCTGTTGGCCACACTCTCCCGACCGCGAGTTGGCAGAAGAAGCTGGGCGATCATGACGATGGGGAGAGTCCTTGCCGCCATGGGCACTGAATATGTGTATGAACAGAGTGTATGGCTGTCTGCTGTGAGACGCTTGTATAGGTGAAGGTTGAGCCGATGGCTCTCGCAAAAAGCTCGATCCGCAATGGCTTGAGCCAAAATAGTTACGGATGGGGCCTTGGAGTTGATGATGCTTGCGGGTGCCCTCTTCGCACTGCCTGCAGAGGGAAGAAGATAGGAGTTCGTGGGGCCGCTTTCAATGCCAAGGTCTGAAGGTTAAAAAACCATGGCTCGGTCCTGGGGCGTCTTGCCAAAAAGCTTTGCGTCCCTGGTCCGCTTCCTGCGGTGAGGTATGGGCCCGAGTCCAGAGGTTTCAGCGGCCACGAATGGGCCGCGGTCCGCAGAGCTTTCGGCGCCGTGTGTCAGCCGCGCGCAAGCAAACGCTCACCAACGTCTCTCCGGATGCTGGAAAGGGACACCACAGATTATGCTGTTCCCATCCTACTTAAGGACTTAAGGACCGCATCCCAGAAATAATTTCGAGCACCCAGAAAAAGTGTCAAAAGGGTGTCGAAACAGTGTCGAAACAGTGTCGGGCGAATGTCTCCCAGGGCCCGACACGTGAAAACCCTTGAGGTTCGGTATTTTTTGGGGGCGCTCGAAATTCTTCCTGGTGATCAAGGCTAAAGTAGGCTGGAGCATCATAACCCACAGGTTACGCAGGAGTCGATCCTGTTATCAGATGCTCTCCAGGTCTGGGCGTGCCCAACCCACGCCTGCCCCCGCGGCAGCCCCCTCCCCGATCCTCAGGCTCGGGCGGGAGGCGCTGCTCGAAGGTAGTGATCGGGGATGGGCAGAGCCCCCCTTGAGTAAAACGTGCCTCAGTGAAAACGGCCTCGGGCCCAAACCTGGCGGGCGCAAGCCTGGAAAATGACGGCCGCGGTGCCCCCTCGAGGACCGAAAACGGACAATTCACTGATCGACGCGTCAGGGCAGGAGGTCTGTCCACCCCCGACGTGAGCAACGACGAGGCCCCATCCGAAGCTTGGCGCGAGCTCCCGCAGGACGCGCTCGTCAGAAAAACGCCGGCAAACCCGGGTTCCGGCCTACTCGAGTCGCACGTTTCCCCGACACGGAAAAATGAGGGCCCAGCTAGCTCCTCGGGTATTCACCAGGCTACACAAACCAGTGATTCGGTCATTGGGGTGCGGTGGCAGCCAGACGGAGGAGCACACCACATCGAACATGTGCGCAGCTCGCGCGAATCCTGCGAGGATAGGTTGGTGCACAGGTCGTGGCTTTGCCCTGCTCGCAGGTAGGGAGCGAGACGAGATACGCGATTGAAGGTCCCCGCCAGCGAGCGGCCCGAAGCTCGAGGAGGTTGACCTCGAGGACCCCGAGACGCCCCCTGCTGTTCCCCAGAAGCCCAGTTCGGCACCCTGGCGACGTGTTCCCGAGGCCGTCTGCAGAATCCCGAGAGCCCCTCGAGGTCTTGTTTGGCCCAACGGCGCAGAGGCCGCGGACCGCACGTTCCAAGGAAATGCGTCCATGGACGGGTCCCTGTTTCGGGAGAGTGCTTCCGGAACGGTCCAGGACAGGGTCAGGGAAGGCGGTCTGCGGCGAGGACAAAAAGAGATCCCCTGGCATGGTAGCGCTCCCCTCTGGCCCCCTCTCCCTCATCAGGAGTGTGCTTCCAGAACAGTCCAGGACAGGGTCAGGGCAGGTTGTCTGCGGCGAAAACAAAAGAGATCCCCTGGCATGGTGACGCGCCCCCTCGGGCCTCCTCTCCCTCGGACCCCTCTGGCTAACGCCGAACGCTGTGGGCTCTCGGTTGTGGGCCGGCTGGCCCTTCCTGGAAGTTCTCATGTCTCGGACTGCCTCAAAGAGGGCCGCCAGTTCGATCTCCCAAAAAAGCGAGAGGCTCTCGTATGAATGGGCTTCAAAATGGTTGTTCCTTGTTTCTGGAGGACGGTCTTGGGACCCTCACTACGGCGAAGGGCCACCAAAAGGCGGACCCTGACCTTACAGTGGAGGCCAGTCCACAAGACACCTTCCGCAAGAAACCCAACCCTGAGACCCCAGGACGTTCATTGATCTTTGGTGTGGGAACGTCACGCTTCCCATAGCAAAACCATCGAAACCTAAGAAACCCAGGGCACCCTGGAGGCACGCAGGGTGAATTTTGGCATGGGCCTCCACTGCACCCCAAAGCAGCAGTATCACAAGCTAGAAACCGACGAGGCTGATGCAACGGCGAAGGTTGGAGCCCGACGTCACCACCAGCCCACTCAAACGCGACAGGATTGGCTGGCAGTTCGGCTTGCGAGCGTGTTCTTTTTCGGCGTTTCGACATTGAGCGAAAAAGGGAGGGGGAGGGAAGGGGGGGGGGTCTGGCTCCAGACCTCTGCTTAGCGCGACTGTATGCAACAGTGCGCCCTATGGGTGCCCGAAACAGGCGCCAAAAACAGCCAAGATCCACTCCAGGGGGGGGGGGAGGGGAGGGGGTGCGAGGACCCGCGCCGATCGGCAGAACAAGGAATACGGAAAAGACCACCCTCGGTCGCCCTTTCGGGGGAACTTTCGCGGGAGCGATACACGCAAGGGCGGCATGTCAACTCCCCCGGGCGATGGAATGCGGCGAACCACCCCTGAGCAACGCCCCCGACCGATGCTCAGAAGGGGTGGAGAGATCAAGCCCCCTGGGCGATGCTCCCTCCATGTTTTTCCGTTAGTTTGTGTCCGACTTAGTTTGTTTATTAGCCGCGAGCCTGCTCCCTCTCTGGCCTGAGCTTCACCTGTCCGACGTCGAGCGGACGAAGCAAGGCCGCCACTGCAGCTGCCACGGCTGCGCCCCGCGTTCGGAGCCGGATCGGCAAGCGCCGGCAGTGCGAGTGTTGCTGCAGGGGTTCCGGAGCGGTGTCCCGTCCCGAGCCAGGCGTGTGCCAAGGTGGCCCGGGTATAGGAATCAGAGGCATGGGCGCGCACGGGTTGCAAGCTTCGGGCCACAGTGTAGTTTTTTCCCCACATCCCAAGTGGGGTTCTTGTTTTCTCTGCACACCCTCCGCGCAGGATCTCTCCTCCTCCTCCTCCTCCTCCTCCTCCTCAAGCAGTTGGGGCTCAGAAGGAAGGCTGGAGTGGAGCAGCCCCTCCCCCTCTTTCCGGGCCCGCCTGCTGTACCGTTTCGTGGCGCTTGCGGTCTAGTCTGCCGAGTGGAGACGGCAACAAAAATCAAAGGCAACCTCTCCCAGCACAGCTCATCCGCCATGGCCATGGCGCCCGCTCGCGGGGGGCGGCTGGTCTCGTCCTCCTCGGCAGCCCTCCGGCAACGGCGACGGGCACGGGCACCAGGAGTGCCCCGGAAGTGCGGGCGGTGCGGCTGCGGACAGGAGCTCGGCAGGCTCTCTCGTTCTGCAAGCAGCGCGGCGGGAAACGCAGGGAGGTCGAAGGAGCTCCGCCCCCCTCCAGCCAGCCAGGAGGCGCGTGGGCCGCCGACCAGGGCTACAGGAGCTGGAACATCGGAGGCGGTGAAGCCCTGGGTGCTGGTCTGCAGGGCGCGGATGCTCCAGCCATCTCTGGCGACCAGGGAGAGCTCAGTGATGACGAGCTCCAGTAGCTCGTCGACCTCAACCAGAAGACGGGCAGCGCCGCTGTCGCTGCAGCGTTCCAAGGGCGTCTTGAAGAGCGCCGTGCAACGGTGGGATCTGTCCCTCTCCAGGCGCAGGCTACGAAGGTGGATCGTCGCATCAAGCAGTTGGAAAGAAACTCAAGATCGAAATGGATGATCAGTGTACTCATTGGCAGGCTTGGTTACTCGAGAAGCAGGGCTCTGTCGGCTAGTTACGCATGGAGCTCGCCAAGGAAATCGACAGCTACAGGTCCCTGGTCGAGAAGCTTCGCCGTGCCAACCCGAGGCTGCAGCCCCAGCCCTCAGGAAGCCAAGCAGGTCACCCTCCACGACTCGCTGGACGGTGGTTTGGACTTCCTGGACATGTCCAGCGTGGAGTCGGTCTTCGGCATTCACAAGTCTGCCTGTGACGCGCTGGATTCGGACGCAGCTGAATTCGAGAAGAGGGCCTAGCAGTTCCGCGGCGGCATTACATCGGCAGCGAAAGTGCTCTTCGGTGGAGCCATCGGTGCCATCGTCCACCTCCCGAAGTAGGCCTGCTACATCAGCGCGCGCAGCGTCTAACTGCACCACTGCCAGGACCCCTCAGATTCCAATATCGGACTATCAAGCAAGGTTTCTGTTGTTGTCGAAGGTGCAGGTGTACCTTCGATTATCGGAGGGGGCCTCAAAATGGTCCTCGACACCCTGGTCAGGTCTCGGTCTGAACACGATGCGTCTGTGGTCAGGATCCTCAAGGGCCCCTGGCAATTGGAGGCTCCTGGGTCCTGGCATTCCGGAATAAAGCAGTTCTTGAACAAAAATAGAATTATTCATGATTGGGAAGAGATGGAAGATGAGTTGAAGAACCGTGACACCGCGTTGCAGATTCTGGCACAGGCGAGCGCGGCGTCTTCCGAAAAAACTGAACTCATTAAGCTACCTCAAGCTCGGAATGGGTGTTTTAGCCGACGCGCTCTCGCTGCCAGAGTCGGAGTCCGCCCGCCCCTCAAGCTTCTGGGAGGAGGCGGAGTTCAGGCAGCCAGTGTTTCAAGAAGGTCGAGCCGATGCCGAGCCTCCCGGTCTTGAACCCAGCCAATTTGCGCGCGGCGAGCCACAGGAATGCTGAGCAAGCTGCTGTTTCCGTAGGCGTTTCCACATGAAGCACTATGCCAGCCTGAGCGGCCAATCAATAAAAAGCACTAGGGGTGTCGGGGGCGCGCAAACATGGATTAGCAATCCATGGATTTGGCGCACGGGCGCCAAACCCATGGATCGGGGGAGGGGCTCTCCCCAAAATGCGGACGGCGCCGCTTCGCTCGGCGGCGGAGATCCGCGATGTCCCATGGAAAAGGGACCCATCACTAATCCACGCCCCCTTGATCATCATCATCATCCTTATCCTCATCCTCCTCCCCCTCCTCCTCCTCCTCCTCCTCCTCCTCCTCCTCCTCCTCCTCCTCTCCTCCTCCTCCTCCTCCTCCTCCTCCTCCTCCCCCTCCCCCTCCCCCTCCTCCCACCTCCTCCTCCTCCT